ACGCTCGGCAGCGCCAATTCTTACTAAACTGGGTGTGTTATAAATCCAGTGTAAGCAGGGGATTTCTTATGCCAACAATGCTTCTCAACCTTTACCTTATTACCACACTTCTTGGCTGCCCTGAGATAAAAATCTTTTAAGTTTTTTTTTTTTTTTTACTGCTCGTGTGTGAAATCTCCGATAACGGAGCCAAACGCGGGGAAAGTTCAGGGCCGTTTTACGAGTCTGTTTTATCAAGAGTTTTGATCTACAAAGCCATGAACACACAAACTCATGGCTGTGGGATGAGGTCAGTGAAACCACACCCATTCCCTCGACAGACCTTCCTTTCCCTTTAGTGGGCAGTTTTCCACGGGCTGCAGAAATATGCCCTGTTGGACGAGCAGCGCTTGCCTTCGGGTTGGATGCGATGCCAAGGAAATCAGGAATTCTCTACACATTGCGTGTGCTCAAGACACATTATCTGTGAGTTTTGGAGGTGAAGTCCCTCCCTAATGAAAGTCAGCTGAGCAGGAACAAGCCTGGAAACACCAGCGGGAACGCTGAGGGATAATGACAAGGCAGGTTTGGCACTGGGGGGGGGGAGGATCCGTGAAACAAAATAACCACGGTGAAGATTTCCGGAGGAAAAAAATGTTAGAGGGAAAGTGTGTGACACCAGGAATGGGGAGGAATGGCAAACACATGTCAAGCAGCACGTTTTATTTACCTTTCATTAGCGTGTCTTCCTAGGAGAAGGTTAAATACTCCAGGAGAGGGATGGGATTTTCCTTATATTAACTAATCCAGACAAAAGTGAATGGAGATTTGCTTTCTTCAGCATTCATTGATATTAATTGCTTTATTGAACTAGCTGTGGGAACATGGATTTCCCAATGCCAGCATAAAGGATCATTATTTATAAGCTAACTGATCCCACAAATTCTACACTTAGCTCAACATTTCCTTTGGAAACGCTGAAAGAATCTTTAAAAAAATCATTATATTTCATCCTTTACACTAAGGCACACCAGCTAAATGCTACAGGTTTTCCAGGAAAAGAAAAACAAGTTTTTAAGGTTCACATAACAGACTCCAAATCAGCTCTGAAATGCTGCATATTATTACATTTTTCCTCCCATTAGTTTTCATTCTCTCCCTTTTCCCCTGACTTACAGGTGTCCTTAGTTACAGCCATCAGTAAAAACAAAACACATATGCAGGCTATAAATCTGTGTTTGTGTACTAATTCATGAGAGTAAAATATCTTCAGTTGCTCCTTCCAATTTCCTTTCCCTGCTCAAATCATAACTGTGCTGCGATATTTTCGGGCTTAAGCTTTCAGGAACTCGATTTTGTCCCAAAAGGTTGGTTACGTGGAGACCTGCAAGTGTGGGTTCTGGCTTCAAGTGAATATATTTAGCAGGAGAGACTTCCAAGCACAATAAAAGTGACTAAATAAACACTGAAAACTTTAATCAAAGCACTCAGTCGTCCCTGTAACCCTTTGGAGATGGATATGGATGACTCAGCCCGTCAGAGTTCGTGCAAAAATACACCACAGCAGTCAGTGACATCAAATTATGTTTCTTAGCACCAAGAAGTGAATAAATTTGAAGGAGAAACCAAGAATGAATGTCAAGTTTCTTTTGTTCTAATATATCCTAACAATGCTTATGGAATTGCTGCAGTTAAGCTCGACTTTGCTGTTCTAAGATCAATTTGGGTGCTTTATGTGCTGTTTTAAATCAAAGCCGAGCTAAACGTGGTATGCAAATTGCAAAGTCATAAATGTTTGCTTTACTTATGTTCCTTCCTCTTTATATCACAATCAGAATCCTTCACCAAAGCCCCCCAGAAGCAATCATTTTTGGCATAGTTTAGATGCCAGATATATAAGCTCCAAAGGAAGAACTGGGATCTATTTTACAGTTGCAATCATTCAGTCCAAGAAAGAAAAAGCACTTTTAGTGGCCTGAAAAGAAGCAAAATATCCTCGGGGAAGACAAACTTGACTAGAAATATGTTATTGCACAGATTTAAGTTAAAGGAGATCCAAAGGTGAGAAAACTTTTTGGCTGGGGTGAGAAAAACTCACTGATGTTCATACTGAGCCTACATTTGAGGATCTTTGTCCAGGTGAGACACCTGTAGCTTTGCCTTATTCATGCAAAAAGAATTATTAAGAAGTAGGTATTTGACAGAGATATTATTTATAATTTATATAGGAAAAACACCTTGTGGTTGTGTTGTTAGTCAAAGCCTGGACTTGATAAACCTTGACTTAAATAAATGCCTCTGGCTGCTGCTCCAAAGCTCTTCAGGGAATAAAGTGAACATGTGAAGACAAACATGTCCATTCTTAACCAAAGTGTCCATTAAGTGTCTAGTGAAGTAACCAGTTGTAAGGATGGAATTTTCAAACTTTTCAATACTAAGGAGACCAAAAAAAATCTCCAGAAGACAGGACTTGCATACATATGACAACCAGGATTGTCATATTTGTCAGATTTGTCATGTTGTGACATAAAATGTCCAGGACTTGAGGGGGAAAAAAGAGCTTGGAGGGCTTTGAGAGAGAAGAGCAAAGCAAAATACCCAGAAACTACCAGCATGCAAAAATGAGACAGTAGGTATATGGACAATAAACTTAAATTTAGAAAGTCAACCAGTCATGTCTAATGACTGCTACGGAGAGAACCTACAAAGAGAAATGGAAATAGGGTATTAAAAGGGGGTAAGTGCTAAATAAACATGAAGAACTATAATTAAGGGCAACAATTTGCTTACCCAATGCATAATAAGACAAAATAAGATATGGTTCTAAAATTTTATGTGAAAAAGATGTCTCATACCTCTCATTTTTACACAGTCATAGAATGGTTTAGGTTACAAGGGGCCTTAAAGATCATCTTGTTCCACCTCCTGCATGGGCAGGGACAACTTCCACTATCCCAGGTTGTTTCAAACCCCATCCAACCTGGCCTTGGACACTTCCAGGGATGGGACAAACAATAGTTCTTCTTAGAAATCCAAAATATGAAACAAGATTTCAAGTATTGCTGTCAAAGCGTTTAATATTAAGCCACTACCACGAAGGAAAGGAAGCACTTAGGAGGCTCCTCTGTGTTATTTCCAAGATTTTTTAGTTCTTTCCTGTGTTCCTGTAGCTGTTCCCTTTTGCAGAGTATTTCAGGGTTTCAGAATCCATTAAAATGAAAATATAATGAGTTTATGTTGCCAATACATGGCTTAGCATAGTATTATTTGTGTTTACTTACATATGTGTACACACACACACACACACTGTAAACTTGGAGAATGACCCATGGCCTACAAAGGTGGAACTGATCACACTTTGTGTTCAATCAAAGTGTTCAAAGGAAACCCCCAAAAAATATCTTTAAATCTTTCACTTGAATTGGGCTGGCATGGAAAATCGTGTTCATATTGTACTCATTTGTGGTCTGCTGCTCAGGAATTTTAACTGATGACAATTCAAAGATAAATTTGCTTTAAAAATAAATGATGAAAAATAACTGGCTTCTCTGGCTCTTATTTCATAATCTCCAAAGTATGTTCAGATTTATATAATTACAGTAGAAAATAGAAGTCTAAAAATGAAATCTGGTTTCGCATTAGAGCAGCCGGAATTAATAGGATTCTTCTTGCAATTCCTTTGTTTTCTGCTGGAGAACCAAACTCCACCACGAGTGGGGAAACCATGGTGCTCTGCCCTGTTTGGGCTGTGATTGATGCCGTGGCATGGGAGCTCCAGGCTTTTCAGCTTCTCTGAGTTGAGGAGATAATCAGTGGGAAGCCCATCAAACGTGCTCACAACTGGGCAGGTACTTTACTGAGCTAAAGCTCAAAGTTGGGACACTTTGGACAATTTTTACGACTGTTCGTAACCTCTAAATGTGGCTTTCAGCTACTCATTCCCTTCTTTAATTTACATGAAAAAAAGACTTACTTTCTTTCCTTCACGCAGCAATAATTTGGAAGCTGAAGGTGTTAAAACGTAACTCAAAACTAGGAAAAAGAGCCAAAGCTGCTTAAATGTGATCCTGCTGAGTGAGGTGGAGGGCCTAAGGTCTGACTGCAACCTGAAATCAGCTGGATCTCTGGAGGGCAGCAAATTGCCCTGTTGGACATGGAGCTGGACAGTAATTCAGCTCTGGTGTCCCCAGCACAGGAAGGACATGGAGCTGCTGGAGAGAGTCCAGAGGAGGCACCAGGATGATCAGAGGGATGGAGCAGCTCTGCTGGGAGGAAAGGCTGAGAGAATTGGGATTGTTCAGCCTGGAGAAGAGAAGATTTGGGGTGACCTGATTGTGTCCTTCCAGTGCCTGAAGGGAGCCTGAAAGAAAGATGGAGAGAGACTGTTTACAAGGGATGGAGTGACAGGACACAGGGAATGGTTTCAAACCGAAAGAGAGGAGATTTAGATCAGATATTAGGAAGAAATTATTCCCTGTGAGGGTGGTGAGATCTTGGCACAGGTTGCCCAGAGAAGCTGTGGCTGCCCCTGGATCCCTGGAGGTTTCCAAGGCCAGGTTGGACGGGACTTGGAGCAACCTGGGCTAGTGGAAGGTGTCCCTGCCCGTGGCAGGGGGTTGGAAGGAAATGAGCTTTAAGAATCCTTCCCACCCAAACCATTCTAGTTCTCATGAATTTGTGAAGGTTTCACTAATTTCCTCTAAACTAAGAGTGGCCAGTCCTATTTCTAGTGTAAATATTCTTCCCAATCCAAATTCAAACTTACTTTATAGTCTGCTTACTACAGACCATGCCCCAGATTAAAATATGCCTTGTACCTCTCCTACTAAAGACCTTTACAAAAGCTGACAATACCGTGTGTAAGTTGCCTTTGTCTTTTCTATCCATTGTTACCAGTATCTATACATTCTATAACCTGCTACAAGATTTAGGGGTGTCCCAAGAAATTAAAAATATACCAAATAAATGACAAAGTGAAATATGAAATGCAAGAGATTAATTTGCAGAACCAAAAAATCTGTGGCTGAGTCACATGGTGCAGTTTGTTGCTCCTCTGAGTAGCTCAAATACAATGGAGCTCACACCTGAAAGGGAAAGGAAGCACGGTTCAAACAGGGAATTCCTGAAAGAAGCAATGCAAAAGCAAAGTCAGATTTCACAAATATTTACAAATACGTGCCAGCTCAACTCTAAAATCATTTATTGTGTCTCTACTCTTTCACCAGCTCTGAGGTGTTTGGGTGAAATGTAAATTTGATATGAATTTATAAAATCAACAGCTGGTGCCAATAGAGACACGGAAACAAAATGATCAACTTCAGAAGCATAGCCCCTCAATTAAAAAAAAAATAAAAATAAAACCAAACCAAACAAATAGAAGTGTTTCTCTACCAACTTAAATTTTCAGGCTTCCAAGTGAACACAATGAAAATTTCATTGAAATTATCAACCATGGGATTGCATCTTTCTCCTTTTCTGTAGGACCTGCATAAACCCCGTGTGTTGCCACTCTTTTCCTCTTATCCCATCTACCCTTTTCCCAGCTTTACCTTCACAACATTGCACCTCTCCCTCTGTATTATCCAGCATTTCCCCAGCAATGCCACCCCTCAGGTGACATCCATCCCCTCCCTGCCACTCCTACCCTCATCCAGATTTATGTCATGTGTGGGCCAAGGCCCTCTTCTCCCATTTTTCCACGTCTGTGACTTCCATGGTGGTGATAAGGAATGAGCTTTCTGACGAATGGTTTCACAGATAAACATGTATTCATTCATTGAGACATATTTTAAAATAATTGAGACCTGCTAAGCTGTATATAAGGCTTGATATATGATATGATATATAATATGAATGTAATATGATTGACTGGATGATCTACAAATGTAAGTCACCACTCACTCCTTGTCATGTTCAATATTCTGTCTAGTTTTTCACCAGATTATTTGAATCAGGGTCGCTGCCTTCATGTGTGTTTTTATAGGTTTTACCACAATAGGATTCTGACATAAATTACAGTCCAGGGATTGCCAGCAATTTTGTTAATAATAACTGCAATAATAAAGCAAAACAATTCCTTGTGGTGGGCTAATCTTTTAAGCTGTAAAAGCCTGGATTGATTACTGAGTACTAACTCATCTCTGCTGCATGAGGAGGACTGAATAGTTTTCTGGACACCAAAAATAAAAACTGAAATTTAAAACTCCTCAGCACGTGCATCCAGCTCCAGGCAGAGTGAAACTCCATAGAATCATGGAATGGTCTGGGTTGGAAGGGGCCTTAAAGGTCTTCTAGTCCAACCCCCATACAACCAACAAGGACATCTTGCTCCAAGCCCCGTCCAACCTGGCCTTGGACATTTCCAGGGATCCAGGGGCAGCCACAGCTTCTCTGGGCAACCTGTGCCAGGGCCTCCCCACCCTCACAGCCAGGAATTCCTTCCCAATATCCCATCTCTCCCTGCCCTCTGGCAGTGGGAAGCCATTCCCTGTCTCCTGTCACTCCATCCCTTGTCCCCAGTCCCTCTCCAGCTCTCCTGGAGCCCCTTGAGGCTCTGGAAGGGGCTCTGAGGTCTCCTTGGAGCCTCCTCTTCCCCAGGTTGAACACCCCCAATTCTATCAGCCTTTCCTTATAGGAGAGGTGTTTCATCCCTCTGATCATCTTTGTGGCCCTCCTTGGAACCCACTCCAGTAGATCCAGGTTTTCCTGTGCTGAGGACCCTAGAGCTGGACACACCAGTACATCAAGGTACAGTATTAGAATTCAAAAGGCCTTGTCAAATTGGAGAAAAGACCTAAAAATTCCATTTAATGAAAGAAGGAAAAATACAAATTTTACAGTCAGTGAGGAATAATCAGGGTGTTAAATGCAGAATGGGGGATGTTCTGCTGAGACAGAAGTTCTGTGTGACAGTTACACAAATCAAAATATAAAATGTTATCACACTGTAGAAAAAAGCTGCATAACACCTCAGGGTCCTGCATATGGATACAACTGGAAATAATGTAGAATAACTTGCTGCATTTTTGGCCTTGATAATACTTGGCCCAGCTGTAGTTCTATACACAATCATTACATACCCAGGACAAGAAAGATGTGGATAAATTGGAGAAAGACTAAAAGAGAAGAGTGAGAATGATAAGCATGTAGAAAAACAGAATTTCAAGGGAAAAAATAAAAGTTAACGAATTAGGGTTGTTTGCTCTACAGAAGAAGAGACTGGGGTAAAACTGCATATAAAAATATGGGCAGGAAAAAACAGGAGTCCATTGAAATTGTAGCAAAGGGCAGTTGGGTGAGATATTGTGAAAAATCTCATGGACATGTTACTAAAAAAAAATAAAATAATAAATAATAAATAAAATTAAAAATAAATTAAAATTTTAAAAATTAAAAAATAAAATAATAAATAATAAATAAAATTAAAAATAAATTAAAATTTTAAAAATAAAATAAAATAAAATAAAATAAAAATAACAGTGCTAGTGGAGATACCTGAACTGGACCTTCACATAAGGCTTATTTAATAAATCATATACCAATATCCAATGGACTGCCCAGTAATAGTGGGAATAAAAAAAGTAAACCAACAACAACAACAAAAAAACCCCTCTGGTCATTTTTTTTGGTGAAAAAAAAAAAAAGAAGTATTTGGCTGTACAGAAAAAAAAACAAACTTGGAAATGAGAAACATTTTGTGCAATTTCATTAGGATTTACATCCTTTAACGTGAGATAGACTTGAAATCTATTTTTAACCAAAGAATCTTATTAAAGTAAGAAGATTGCCTGGTTTACCACTTGTAGTTGTTTCAAGCAGTAGTGGCTGATGATGCTCTTTATAAACAATAGGGAATAAATTTAAACAAACTAAAAGATGTTTAATGTAAAAAAATCCCTGCAGCTTGAGAAAAAAATATGTTGTTTTGGATTGCATATTTTACATGCAATTTATGCTGCAGTTTCTCTTCATTAACCACATCTCGCAGATTTTTCAAAGCACCAGCATGAATATTATTAACATGTGTTAAAAATGTGTTTAAAATAATGTATAAAGCTGTGTATTTAAAGAAAAAAGTTTAGGTATAATGAACAAGGGTGTCTGTGTATTATAAATTGGTTTGTGGGTGTGTTGATATATAAACCAGGCTCTGGGTGCACAAATGCACATATATATTGCTTTAGAGCTGGTGTTTTAATTAAACTGAACTAGACCTTAACAAGAGCATCCAATTCATAATTTTTTCTGTTCTATAGATTCTTATTAGTTAAAGTAGATATAATCCATTCTGGAACATGACATGTAGAAATTGCCAGAATCTCCTTTTATTTCTTTCTTTACCACTGGTTTCCTTCTACCGCAAGAATCTCGGGAAATACCTTGTAGCCTTCGGGTTTTTTCTGCAGTATAACCTGTTTGCATCCATCTTCCCAACTTTGGTAGCATGGTATTGATAGAAATGATTGATAATGGCAGACACAGGTCTTGAAAATTACAAAAATCAAAAGCTTATAGTCTGAGCAATTAAAAATACCCAATATCGTCCCATCATTCTGGTCCCGGTAACACCTCATAGAGTCCTACAATGGTTTGGGCTGGAAGGGATCTTAAAGATCATCTAAAAGACCTAAAGATTATCTAATCCCACCCCCTGTCATGGCCAGGGACACCTTCCACTAGCCCAGGTTGCTCCAAGCCCCGTCCAGCCTGGCCTTGGACACTTCCAGGGATCCAGGGGCAGCCACAGCTTCTCTGGGCAACCTGGGACAGGGCCTCCCCACCGTCACAGGGAAAAATTCCTTCCCAATATCCCATCTAACCCTGCCCTCTGGCAGTGGGAAGCCATTCCCTGTGTCCTGTCCCTCCACCCCTTGTCCCAAGTCCCTCTCCAGCTCTCTTGGAACCCCTTTAAGCACTGGAAGGAGCTCTGAGGTCTCCCTGTGTCATCAAAATCAAACATAACATTCTGAAGTAGCATCTTTCTGTCATTTTAGGTGAAGGCCTTTGAAAGACACTCAACATTGATTACATTTGCTCCTGCTGATGTAAATGGGAGTATCATTGAGTGAACAGAGCATTTTCACAAATCCTATCCTCCTGCCTAATGTCAAGGACCAGCCTAAAGTCTTCATCAGTGCCATGCTGGGATTTGGTCTGTACTAAATTCTTCAGAGAAAGTAAGAAGTGTCTGTGGATATTTTCTAACTTTCAATTAAGAAAAAAAAGTTGTTTGTTGTTCTTTTTCCTTTTTTCTTTTACCTTATCTTTTTCGTTTCAATTCTCATACACTTTGATATCGGAATCAAAGCTACGTGAGCAATTCTAATACTTCTTTTAAAGCCACCTGTGTGTCTATCCTATGCCTAGTTAGCATAATATTAACCAAATGAAATTTTTAAGTCCTAATGATGAGAACTTTAATTTTGGGACAGACATTTGGTAATATATTACTTCACTTAAGGTTTATATAAAAAATTAGAAAGTGGAAAAAGTAGAAGGAAGGAACAGAAATAATTTTATAAACGTATCACAAGCAAATCATAATTTCCCTTGAAAAAGTAGGCTCAATGTAATGAAAGAGACTTAAAAAGCATTAAGTTCTCATTTCAAATCCAGTAAAATTCTTCTTCCCCCCCCCCAAATTTTCACCAAATTGTTTCTTTACCACATCTTTTCACTTTGTATCACTTATTGGAACAGGTTTGCCACTCACACTGATATTTATTACTTTTTTATACCTAATTTTGCAGAATCAAAGTGGCATTTCATCAGCTTTCAGTGCTGCTCAGTTCACCTGTTCAATGTTCATATTCTCCTTCTCCTAAGCCACACAACCAGATTTTTTGGCCTTGGCATAATAAGGTTTGAATAATGGTCTGTTTGTTGTCCCAAGGAAGGAAAGAAGACTTCCTACAATTCACAATTAAAGGCTGTGTGTCTCTGTTAATCAGTGGCCAGGGGCTGGAATTATTATTGTATTATTTGTCCAGTCTCCCCTCACTCTTTGTCTAATAAATGGATTCTTTTTCCTTACAGACCATAGAAGAACAGTCCACAAATATTACTCCACACCTAAAAAACTATTTAAAAAGTGCAGCAAAACAAACTCAAGGAGGTTTCTTACAAAGTGAGGGAGAGCACTGCCATAAATGTAGGTTGTTTTCTGTAAGAGAAAGGGGAAGAAGGATCACTTGGTTTTTAACCCTCTGTTTTACAAGTTATTTCCTAAATTTTCAGCTGGTTGGATTTCCCCTTGCAATGAGAGGGTTTGCAAGTTCAGAAACACTTCACTAGGGGAATGAGGACCCCAGTGTTGATGCCAAACACCAGAGAGGGATGGTTTTCTTTATACAGTGACTCTCAGAGAGGTTTGGCACCTAAAAGTTTCTCTTCTTAAAAATATTGGCAGTTCCATCTTGATAAAAATTCAACCAGTAAATAAGTAATTTTGAAGCAGTGCTGATCATGTACAAGTGGAATCACAGAATCATCCAGGTTGGAAAAGCCCTCCCAGCCCATGGAGTCCCCCCTGTGTCCAATGCCCATCTTATCCCCCAGCCCAGAGCACGGAGTGCCACATCCAGTCCTTCCTTGGACACCTTCAGGGATGGGGACTCCACCACCTCCCTGGGCAGCCCCTTCCAATGCTTGACAACCCTTTCAGTAGAGAAATTTTTCCTAAAAGAACAGTTTAAACCAGCTAGAACTCTTTAAACTAGCGGAGTAACACTGGAAGTTCTCCTGGTAAAGCAGGCTGGGACATCAAATTGGGCCATCCCAAGGCTTTGGAGGAATGTACACCTGGATTCAATTCCGAATCCAAAATTTGGGTGTGTTTGTCATGCAACCAGTTGTGATGCATCCATAACCAGATCCAAAGAGCTGAAAAAAATTGATACATTAATGGTAGTTCTAAATGAGTGTCAAGGCAGTGTAGCCCAGAGCCAGGCTGTAAAACATCCTGCACTTCTCCTGGCTCAGTGAACCCTGCTTCATCCCAAGTAAATCACAGCCCAGAGGGAAAGTCCAGTCCAATTAAAACACCCAGATTAATGATAGCCCCCAGACTTGTTCGGTTATCTGATTTTCCATGGGAACTCAGGCTCAGCTTTATCACATCCTACTTCAGATGTTTAAAAGTGTTTCCTGTCTTAGACACCTACAAGGCTTGGCCTCCCCTGCCATGGCCTGGAAAAGGGAGACTCTCTTAATGGGTATCTGGCCATGGGTGGATCCAGGGGTTGCATCTCAATGAGTTTATAATTAAGCAAGGCAGGGTCTGTTGCCTGGCTCTCAAGGCAAGAGACGTGGTAGGGATCACATCTCCATGGCTGCCTGACCTCCCTGAGAGAAGTGTGGGGGCCATGCTGGGGAAGGAATCTTGTTTCCAGTCAAAACTGCTCCAGAGATGGTGCCAACAGTGCAAGGGATGAGTACGTATGGTCCAGAAAAGTTGTGGCTGCCCCTGGATCCTTGGAAGTGTCCAAGGCAAGGTTGGATGGGGCTTGGAGCAACCTGGTCTAGTGGAAGGTGTCTCTGGCCATGGCAGGGGGGAGAATGAGGTGAGCTTTAAGGTCAATTCCAATTTAAACTGTTCTGGGATTCTCTGGCCAAGCATGATCTGGAAAGCTGGCATGAGTAGTGTGAGCATGAGCTGGGATCTCTCTCTGCACAAGGGTGACAGAGAGAAACCTGGGAAACCAGGACATTTGGGTGACTTAGGTGATCGTGTAGATGCATAAACCAAAAGCCCTCTGAATTAAGAAAAAAAACCCCAACCCTAATTAATGATAATATTGATAGGATAGATTAATACTTTATGATTTCCTCAAAGCTGTGTTGACTCTGGTAACCCTGGCCTAGTGTAAATCCCTCAGCAATGCTCTCCCGTTCTGGATCACCCAGGCAGCAAGATTCAGTCTTGGCTTGAGTAATAAGACAGGATTGCTTAAACCAGGATTCTTCTGAGGCTTTTGAGCTTCAGCATTAGGCCTGAAGTTAAGACCAGTAATGAAAGGATATTTATTATCAAACAAGAGCCTTTGATAGTACCAGCTTGGACATGTGACATGATTTGGAGGTGTGACAAGTCTTTTTACTCCAAGATCTCAGTGCTGCATTGGAGTTGCCTCCTGCCTGCTGCACTACACTCCTGCTTGCTCCCCGGTCATTCATGGAAAAGACATGATCCAAGTCTCTTTTTGTAATATCCAAATATATTTCACTGCCAAAACAGAGATGTAACCAAAGTTCCCACCAAGCCACAAGCACAGCAGATCCATTTGTCTTCTCCCACCTTTTTCCAGAGCCTTGGATATCTTTGCTTCTGGGCTGCAGTTTTATTTATGTAGCTGTGCATTTCTGCCCTTTGGATCAGGGACATGTTCACCCAACAACAAGATAACAGCTAAAAATAGTGAGTTTTCTCTCTTCTCCCAAGAAGCAATCAAGTCTCTGAGGTCTACATGCAACCCCAAATTCTTGAGCTAAAAGTTAAGGCAGCCTTTCCCTGGGGAAAAGCTAACTTCATTTATAAAACACATTTGATTTCCCTTTTCTAATCTCTCCGTAGCCTTTTTCCACTGCTGCGTGCTTTAATTTCGCTTTCAGTCAGAAGTTTAAAAAACTTTAGGCTTCTAATAACTGGAAAAAAATGGTTATTTAAAGATAACTGCAACTTGCTTAACATGCCAGACTATCATATGCTCGCTGCTTTGAAGCTGCAAATTAATGACGAGCAGGAACAGTGACTATCTTTCAGAGAAAACTGACCTCTTTCTAATGGCTCATCGCTAATGTCATCTGTCTGCTGCATCTCATTATGGGAATTTCACGGAGTAGGGAAGTATCTTAAGGCTGTGCACAAATAAAAAGGACCTTCTAGTATTGAGCACTTTGAAAATTTTTGATCTCTCCAAATACCTTCCTTAGATACTGGTTTTCCCTTTTGTGCATGGCACGCTGCTTATGTCATCTATTCTCTGTGACTAATTATGTTAATTTTGTGCCATAAAAGTAACTGAAGGCTGTTAAGGAATAAAAGCTTTTGAGTGGCCTTATTTCATAAACACCCCTTTTGAACAAGGCGCATTTAGTCATATTTGCAGTAACAGAAAGAGTCTTGTGCTAAAAATACAACAAAGGCTCTTGAATATGGCCATTTATTCCTACTTTATTAGGTAATTTATGAAAAGTATGAAGGGAAGCCTTTTTGTTACTATAATTTGCATAAAGCTGGTGCCCCATTAATGAGATAACTTCCTGCCTTTTGTGTACCACCAGCTGGAAATAGAAATATAGGAACTTTTCTGTCTCCCAATTACTTAACCTGCTGAGTTCAGAGTTGGAGAGTAAACAGGATTCATATCAGTCAAAGAAGTTGATTTCTGCTGCTCTATCTAAAATGTTTTTATTTAATTAAGGAACCAGTGAAAGCAAAACGTTAAAAATACACTAAATGTCCATCAGCTCCACGAGACCAAGGCTTTAGACCTGGGCTTCAATTTTGCACCTGTCTTTTTGTGCTGTCAGTCACAATTAGTTGTGCTGCAGAGTAGATCCATCAGGAATCAAGGCAGGCATCTAAAGCCGACAGTTTGAAGGGATCTGGGTGCCAAGGGATGCAGATGGGTTCTAGACATCATTTAAAAATCACCTAGAAACTCGATTGGCATCCAGGGCCCAGACACTCTTGGAAATCTCATTAATTACCTCTCTGGTGCTGATACTTTAAATACTCTGATTTGGATAGAAAAATCCCTGCTCCAGAGGAATAACTGAGCTTTTCCCAACAAGGGGAAAATTCTTCATCTCTGTCACTGATTTGTGTGCCAAAAGTTCAATCTGCCTTCAGGTTGGCTGACGTGGTGCAGTGATACCTGTCACTCTGCTTAGAAACAGAGTTAGGATTTCTTTTTCATCAGTTTTCCACATTAATAGCATCATTTTGGCTGCTGAATTAAAGGTATTGTTTATCAGTTGTAGCATCTCAGAATCATTTATACATAAGGTGATAACTTAGCCATAAAATCAATGGACCAGCTCCCCTATTTAGATATTTTTACACTGTTTACTATCTCTGAATTTATTTCAAGTGACTTAATTATAATTAGGATAATGACAACTCCTTAACAGTGTGCTAAAACATATGCAGGATACAAAAAAAAAAAAAAAAAGAAAAACTATGTATCTAAAAAGAATTTAAATTTCAGCTGCTCAGCTGTGTGGTTTGAGGTCAGTTTGTTGAGGTCAGTTTGTTGGAGCAGTAAAGATTGTTCAGTGGGCAAATTACTTGATTGGCCATACCTGCCTAATCTGTTAAATCTGAATAAAAGGCATCTTTTGAGGTGGAATAGAGCATGTGACAGGTTTGTACTCACCACACCCCACTCTTTGGCCGGGAATTCCCTGCTTTCCCACTGCAGAAGAGCTGGGCTCACCACCATTCAGCCCTAAAGGAGGAAAAGGCAATCAAAATCACCTTCCAGACAATCAAATGGATTCAATCCCAGTTTAAAGAGTCCTTTGACACTACCCTGTATATCTAAACAAATCACTGCAAACCCACATATCACCTCATCTAGTTAAAATATGGGTGTATTTAGAAGAGCTGCAATAGAGTTTCCACTGTCATTTTAACTATGAGCTAAACCACGAGTGCTGACAGGCTAAAGGTTGTCACAGTCAAGGGTCTAATTACTCTACAAATTGCAGTGAGATGATAAGATCCATCTCCTCTTGCTTGGGGCACTGGACTGGGGAGGAAAGTCTCCAGACTGGGCAGGAAAGTGTCCACAGGCTCCTTTCAGGGGCAGCAGAGACACACAGACGCCTCCAGACTGGGATTCACAACTCACAGGGACTGATTCCTTCCCAATTCAGATGTCTTGAGTATATTCTTAGGAGGTATGAGTTGAGACTCAAATTATTTTTAGATTGCACTTTAAATAACAGTTTAAATTTTATCTGAAGGTGTGTCTGAAACTAAATCTTCAAATTCTACACAGCCACCTAATTTCCTGCCTCCTTGCTGTGTTTCTGCCTGTGGCAATCAATGAAGGTCCCAGTTTTCCCCACACACCTTTCTGCCAGATTTTTCTCTGACCCATCAGTGACACTGAACATTTTGTGCAGCCACTGTGGTGTTAGAACGAGCTACTTTGCTAAAAGACTGCAGGAAAAAAATGCATTTAAGGGCCTCATAAAGACTTGGGAGAAGATGATGAGTTATAATTTCCAGTATAGGACATTTGCTGGACTAATGTGGTTCTGGTGCAGCAGCTCAGGTGGGGTGGAAGCATTTAGAGAAGTCAACAGTGCTTGCTCTCTCTTCTTGGTGTGAAATATTCACAAGCAGAGAGCCCCTGCTCTGCTGCAGAGAAATCCATGGCACCAACCTCATGTCTCAGGAGAAGGGATTCCATACAGATTGCTGGCCAGAAGAGCAGCAGCTCTCTAACATCCAAGAAAAGGGACTGTTTCCAAGACATCTACAGCAATAATTCATAACATAGGGTTACAGAATCATGTAGGAAACACAGGAATGGCAGTGGGAGCATCTCACAGACAACACCAGAGCATAAAGTTTTGTTCTAGGCTGACATGAAGCAAATGTCACATAAAAAACACTATTGCATAAATAAATCTCACTCATTCACAAGTTTGTTGGTTTTTTTGCCCTACTCAAAACGCCGAGATTTTTCTATTTTCTTGGGTTTTTTCCTAGATGAAAAAGTGGGTTTGACTCTTCCCTTTTTATTTTTTTCACTGCCCACAGGTTGCAAACCTCAACCAAACACTTACCTGGGAGGTATTTTAGCACGTGGCTGACCCAGACTGATGCCAACCTTCCAGAGCTTTCCTCAGGTGCCTCCCAGTGAAAGGTCAGCAGCTGTGGAGAAAAGGGAGAAGAGAAAGAAATGCATCTTTATCTGCAGGAATGTTGTAATAGGCCTAGAAAGGCTTTGGGTGTTCAGTGTTTAAGATTCAGTGGGATATGAGCCTATATAAAACTTGAAATAAAAGCAGCCCATTGACCTATTTAATGGAACTAGTCATTAAAGCCACGAGAGCCAAGGAAAAAACAGCCTAATGAGGAATTAAAAAAATAAAAGAGGAATAAAAAAGCAAAAAATCCTCTCCATGCCCACTAGCCCAGGGCTAGCTTAATTAAAGTCAAAGTAGAAAGCTGCAAGAATAAAGAAATAAACAGTTAAATGTATTATTTTTATCCCCCTGTTCCTGGCTACTCTTTCTCTGTGATTGGTTTCATTCTCAAATAAAGCAACAGCCTCTCGTTTGCTTTCTGTTCTCTGCCTAATTTGGATAAATATAAACTTTTCTAGGCAAACCCAGAAAATCAGTTTTTCCCCTGAATACGGAGCTCTGATGAAGATTGTTTTGCAATTCTGATAATTACGAATATTTATAGGACATGGTTTAAGAGGGCAGCACTAATTGGACAACGCTTTCTGGACTCCCTTCTCAAAGCACTTAAATGATAAATCAGTCACCGAAGACAAATAATATAAATAAAGTGATAGATTGGCTTTCCCTCTCTCTTCCTTTCTTTTGATTCACCAAACAGCTCCAACAAGCTGTCCGTGGCCAGAAAGCCGGTCTTAGAACGTTGTTATGTCTGTTTACAATGATTTGGGAGACCAGAGGGGAAAAGTTTGAATCAACAAATATTTTCTACATTCCTACTGGTAACTCCAAGGCCGGTTTTCAGGGTGGGTTCCCCCCCCTTGTCTGTTACAAGTTATGATGTGTGGATGAAGGCTTTTTCCCATGCAGTAATGACTGTATACTGAGATTTCAAGGGGCTGTTCATGACAATCCCATTTTCTGTGTAATTTCATGGTTGTCTTCTTGAATGAAGATATTGGCTGCTCTGAAGCAGGAGGTCAGATGCTCCTGCTCCCTTTCAGTATTGTTCCGGAGTATGTTTCCTTTCAGCTGATGAAAAGTAATTCATCATTTACACCCTTGAATTCTGCCAGCGTTTTTTTGAACAACTTTTCTTTCCCCGTGGTACCTTGGGCCCATGAAAGAGATAAATAGGTTCAATACAACGCCGGGCCCCGGATCCTGGGAGCAGGTTCGGCCTTGGAGGCCCCGAGCTGCCCCTTTCTCATGATGGAGTTTGTCACCTTTCTACCTCTGGAAGTCAAATCCTGTCGACTCAGCCATCTCTCAGCCTCTCTGAAGTGGCTTTGGCACCCACTGGGGCATGTGAGCTTAAAATTGATTTTTTTTTAAGATCTGTCAAGTTCCCTTAGGGGAGTGGGCAGCCAGCCGGCCCTCACAAAGCGCTCAATGTCTAACAGGCACCCGAGGAACTTCCTCCAGGAGGGCACCGGGGCCCCAAATCCCCACCCCTCGTTGCTGAGGAGCTGCCCCTCTACCGGAGAAACCTCCCTGCCAGGCTGCCTCCTCCTTCCCAAAGCCTTGGAGCCTCGTTTTTCCTTTTATTTAAGCAGCAGAGATGTTAAAATAGTGGCAGCCAGCCTGGCAGGGGTACCCCTTGCAAGTGGTGCTCCCTGGCATTGGGCACGGCACGAGGTGGCCACTGCTCACCTCTGCTTGGGACAAGGGGATATTGTCCCCCACGTGTCCCAGGAATGCTCTGCCCTGGGCAAATAATTCATTATTGTGCCCCATAAGCTCTCAAAATATTGGTGGTCAGGGAAAATAAGGGTGCAAAGAGAATAAAGATTTTCAGCTGAATAAAAAGGTGTAAATATATAAATATATTTATATATAATAAAAATATGTAATATATATTTATTGTATTATATTATATTATGTATATTATTTTACACAATATATTATTATATTATGTATATTATTATGTAAAATATTTGTTCAGTATATATTAGTGTATATGTATTCATATATTCATATATATTAATATATATGGATATATATAGCATTATATATATTATATATTATAGTATATACTATAATATATATATTATAATATATATACTGTAATGTACATACTATATATACTTTATTATAATATATATATTAGTATACTATACATATACTATATATACAATACTACATATATTATACTTTATATATACTATATTATAGTATATATTAGTATACATATATTCAGTATTTATTAGTATATATCTATTATATTATATATTTATACTACATATAGATAATATTATATAATTATATATGATATAATTTTACATTATTAATAAATATATATATGGTGTATATCCCACTCTTTAAATGACACACATGGTTGCAGCCAAAGACATCTAAAAGCAGACAATCTTCTGATTGCAGAAAATTAAAACCTCTTTGCAGAGTGAGGTTTCAGCTCCCAAAAATTCAGTTCCCAGAAGGCAGGCAGGGGGAGAGGCTGCGCCTCCCAACACCGGTGGCATCCCACAGCTCACAGGCATCTCTGGGAGCATTTCAGAGTCCACCCAGGTAAATAAATGAATTTTGAAGGGAAGAGCTGTCAGCAGATTAGATCACCGGAAAGCAAAGCAAAGCAAAGCAAAGCTGGTTACAACAAAATCTCTGAAAGGGGCTCAGCCTAAGCAATAATTTCAGTGTAGGAATTCTGAATTATTCCAAGGCCTGCATTTAAACATTCTCTGACACAAAGAGGTTTAGTAATATAACCCCTTATTTATTTTTTTCAGCAACTCTCTCTTGTTTGGAGTAGTGTTTTAGAGGAGAAAATAATCTTTCAACTTGGGCAATTTTGTTGAGTTTTTGCTCAGCACACAGGCCTAAAATACGGAATATAACCTGGGTTTGCTCTTTTTTTTTTTTTTTTAATACCCCATGGTTTGCTCCTCCCTTTGCTGCAAGTGTTTGTTTTCTAACAAAAATATCCTGTGCATCCACATTATCAACACACGTTTGAGTGGGCAGAAGGGTTGGTTAATCTGCCGCTGTCGTGACAGCAGGGGGAGCAAAAATCACTGCAACAGGGGGGAATTCACAATGATCCTGGCTATTAAAAAGCCACTTCTGAAAAGAAATAGGCATTTTCTGGAGGAAACAATTGTTATACGCATTTATTATCACCAGCCAAGCTAAAGCTGCAGGTTAAACCCAAACTTTGCTGTGCAAACTGTTAACAGAACAAACAGCAGCCAGAAGTAATTACAAGTTTGAAACACAAGTCAGGAGAGAGCTGAGATATTTTTAACTCATGAGGGGAGTGCTAGAACTCCCTCTGGAAGGAAAAAGAGACAAGGAAGGTTTGCAGCTTGTCTTTTTAATTTTTATTTGTGTTTTTTAACTCTGTGCTGTGCTGCAAGGGAGGGAACTGCAGTCCACCCCAAGAGGAGGCACCTCTGGAGCCAGACCTCTGGTGCTTCAACTTCAAAGATTTAGGGTTAGAAAGGGCACAACTCTAACCCAAATATAGTCCCAGAAGCAAATAACACAAGACTCAATCAGTCACAAGACTATGTTAATATTTATATCCTGAGATATATCCACGTGCTGCACCCTTCCTTCTGCTCACCCTTTCCTTTCGGAGTTCTGGGCTACCCTGACGGTTTCGGTGGGTATGGCCATAAACTGTTCTATCCATAGATCTGGTTTCTTTAAAGTTTGATTAACTCTTGGAATAAGATTGATTTTTTTTTTGCACCCCTTCTCGCCAGTCAGGTCACATGAAATGGTTGTGACTGGGACAGTGTGATCTGTGCCGTGCTTCTCAGCTCTCCAGGTGAGGACGCACGTGTTGCAGCAGAGAGCAAAATACTCCTCCTTTGTTCCACAGCTCCATCTGCCCATCCATCCACCCATCTGCCTCTGTGCATTCACACACAAAAATAAAACCTGCTGAACAAATCCACCACGTCTTTGTCCACACTAGAATGGTTTGTGGAGCTATTTTTCCCCTTCAGTTTGCTGGAGTATATTCACAGGATATTATTTTCATCTCAAATAATTTTTTTTTTCTGCAGTTAGCATTCAGTATTTTCTCTTTGCTTTTCTAAATAGCCTTTCAGTTTGCTTCTGCTTATTTTATGGAGCCTTTCAACTGCTCCACCTTCCCAGATTTTGTATTTTTTTTTCAACACCTTGTGCTTACTGCTTATCTTACTCTTTACTATACAACTCTACTTAGCCACATCGGGCATTGTTACCTTTATCCTTCTTTAGACTTAAACCAGGATGAATTTCAAATGTCCTCCAACTGTTTCTGAAATATATTCCAATTTTCTTCAGTAGATTTACCATACATTATAATAAAATCCTGATAAAAATTCCTTAGCATACTCTGCACTCCCTGAAAGTCAGCCTGCAGGAAGGCTGGCATTGCTTTTTGCTCCTCAACAAATATTTTAAATCAAATGATGTCGAGATCACTGGATCTTTCATACCCCTCCAGTTCAACACCCTTTATTACCCTTGGCTCAAATCCTTGAATTAATTCAAATAGCTTCTGAAAGACAATTCAATAAAGCACACAGGGAACTAGAGGCAATCCCACGTTAGCTTTAGAGACACGAGTATTCCCTGCCTAGTTCTACCTTCTCACAGTCAATAAAGGAGTAATTAAAAGCCATCTTATCAAAGTTCTGGCACTCCTGAAGGCCTCTCTCATCTGCAAGCAAAGACCTAAAAGTTCAAAGAAGCCTTCAGAAAACCACCTGACTACCTTTATTGTGCTTAACTTTTATCAGCATTGACATTGCTATGTCAGCCAAAATACTTGCAACATTTCCCTCTGAAGACACTCATCTCCCAGGAATACTGATAGGGCTCCTCCTCCGTCTCCCCTTTCTCTACACAGACCCCAGACTAGTATCTCAAAACCTCAATTTCTTGCCTCAACCATATCTGTGCTATTCCAATAATATCATGCTTATCCTCGATACTCACAGTTATCATTGATAAGTCTTTGATGTAATAAATCTATGATATAGTATCATACTTATCCTTGCTATAAGATATAATCAAAAATGAAAGCAGAAACTTAAGATACAGAGTAAAATATATTACTTGCCAATTTTCCACAGTAACTTTTCATCATTACTCCAAAATTACTTTTTAATGCAAAGAGTAGTTCCAATCACATAGAGGCCCACATGATTCAGATACTATCATAATCACAATTAGATTACATTACTGCAATCAGGAATGGAGATCATTAAGAGAAAGAATATAAATTGCTTTAGTTTTACAAGTACTGAGCTAGCAAAATTATAATTAATCTCCATTTATAATCTTTTCTTTCATAGAACTGCAAAGCATGCTACTTTTTTTAGGCCATCAATACAAATTAGAACTAAGTAATAAAGCCCTAACTACGACTACTGCGCAGTTCTCAATTGTAGAAACTTTCATATTATGTACAGAAGGCTTTTCATGCAAACAGTGCCCTCAGCATAGAGGGGGGTTTCAGTGCAATAAGTCCAGCCATTTCTACAGTCAGCTGGCTGTTTATAACACAAAATGCAATCAAAACTGTCTATTCCTCTTCCCAACAATGGATATGAAGTCTGCTGCTGAAATTGGATGATAGGTTTTGTGAGAGATGAGACAATAATGACTTAGCAGCAGAGGTAAAAAAAAAAAGGAGAAAAAAAAAGAAAGGCACAAATACCAGATTTCACAAGTTTTCAGTATTTCCACTATAGAAACAAATATGCAATGCTGTCAGGAGTTGTGAGATGGCAGACGAGGCCTCGTCTAACTCCAGTATGTACAAACACATTGAATATACATAGCTCTGATTGAAATTTTTAAGCTTGCCATGTTTGCTTTTTCTTCATTTTAACTCTCCATTTTGAGAAACAAGAATAGTAAAATTGGTGGCAGTCTTGCCGTCATGCTAAACATTCTTCTAGATCCAAATTGTACCTTCCCTGACTGAGGAGGGAAAATTATATGGAAGAAAAAAGGAAAAAGGTAAAACCAAAAGTGGCCCTATTTAAATGCATAAGTAACTTTGCCTCTTGGTTTTACAGGGACAGAGCAAAGCAATGAGACAGAAAGTAATTGCTGGAGATTTGCTGCTTTAGAGAATAAATGACCACCCTTGGACAGTCTGTCTTGTTCTGGCCATGGGGCAAAGGAACAGAGTTTAAATCCAAGTGAAACAAATCTGCAGCACCACTGTGGATTCCCTTAGTTAAGTTCTCAGGAGTTAAGTTCTCAGGTAGAAGAAATCACAAAAGAAAGAGGTTCATAGAATGATTTGGGTTGGAAGGGACTTGGAAGATCCTCTCGGATCCCTTGGGCAGAGACACCTTCCACTATCCCTGGAAGGAACCAGGTTGCTCCAGACCCTGT